AAAAAAACTAAGAACGTAAAGAACCTAATAAAAGCTGAACCGAAAATCACAACCCAGTCCTATTATATTCAATATGATAGTTCACATACAACGTGGATCACAATATCTTAAACACAGTAATAATCGATGAGTTCTGAATTTATTACATTTTCTCAAATTAAGTTAAACCCGCGCCGGTGCGCGGGTCAAGATCTAGTTAAGTTTATATGTTATCCATGTTTCCAATCAAATTTTTAAAATTTTCTTATTCATGTTTCCAAACACTTCATTTTTGTACTTCAGCTTTAATAGTATAGATAATATATAAATTACATAAAAAATAAAAACGAATTTCAATTATTTGATTAGATAAGTAACTAAAATTAATAATAATCATAAGAATTATCCAAAATCTAAATAGTATCTTTTTAAATAAGATAATTCCGATATATATTGTGATGTTATATGAAATATATTTTGATAAAAAAGTTAACAATTAAAACAATAGAAAATAAATAAGTAAATATTAATCAAGTCAACTTCTTAATTTTATATAATTGAAAAAATATTATTTGATTTTAAAATTATTTTTAATAGTGAACATAAATTACAAATAAATATATGTAAGAATTGTTAAATGAAAGTATAAATATTATTGGTTTCAAAAAATAAAGCACAATTAATACTTTATCACTATAATCTTTCCATTAGTAAAATATGTATTCATAAAAATGGATTTAAATTATTTTGATTATTTAAATATTTAAAATTAATAATAATCATAAGAACTATCCAAAATCTAAATAATATATATTTAAATAAGATAATTCATATATATATTGTGTTGTTATCTGATGATATATTTTACTAAAAAAATAGATATACATAATTAAATATTAATCAAGTAAACATCTTAATTCTATATAATTGAAAATAATTTTTTTTTATTTTAAGATGATTTATTTTTAGTAGGGAGCATAATGTACAAAGAAATACATGTAAGAATGTTTAAATGAAAATATAAATATTATTGACTTTAAAAAAAATAAAACATAAATAATACTTTATCATTATAATTTTTCGATTAGTAAAAAATGTATTAAAATAATTATAAAATATTTAGGCCCGCAAATGCGGGAAAAACACCTAGTTATTATATAAAAGACACTATATGATGAATTAGGGTAATTGGTCATAGAATTAATTATAAATTTTTTGAATACTATACTATCCAATTTCCCTAGAAATAATAGGATTAATTAAACAATAAGTAACCGAGATATATTTGGTTATGCATCACATTTAAATTTTGATTAGATATGGGAACAATACATAATTTTGCTGGTAAGTGAGAATTAGAAGTAATGACATTCCATTGTAATTGTTGAGGAAAATTCAGAGTTAAATACAAAATGTACTCATGTTTTAATAGTTTGGATATAAATTAATAAATATTTATAGAAAAATTATGTTTGCAAGTGCGAGTAAAACACCTAATTCTAAATGTTAGGTTATTCTAAAATCTATTTAGCATTTCATGTAACTTGTGTCTGGATTCCAAACTTAAAAAGTCGGGATGTATATATATTAGCACTAAAGAAAAGATTACATTAAAACAGAAGATGATACAGAGATCGGCGATTCATGAATCCCAAACAAAGCCAGCGGACAAATACAATCCGAGTCCAAAGCCCACAATTGAGAAACGAGATGGAAGAGACAAACTAAGATCAGATTTAAAAACAAACATCAAATTAATACAGCCTAAAAACAGATTAAAGGAACCTAGAAATTTAAGAACAAATTGCACGAGGACCTGGTGAACTCCTTAGATGAAACAAATCGAAGAGGCCATCAAAGCCAATTCAATGACTTGCGATACCTCCCATAGTGAATAGCTCAGACGAAATAAGAACCCATGCTTCGCAGACCAACAAGACAGATAACTCAGGACATAAGTCTTGAATTGGAAGGCGACATCGAAGAAGGACCAATGGAAACGCCAATTGAAGCACGACAAGAGAATAGATCTCGATCGGATCTTTTGGATTGAAGACAGGGAGCGCACCAGTCAACTCCGGATTCAACCTCACTCGAAGATCCGAGAAGGAAGAAGATCAATACCAGAAAAGAACAAAGAGAGAAACATAGCCAACATGCAAATCCAACAAAATACTAGGTTCAAACAAAAAAATGGATCTGGACTGAGACGAAGATAAACAAGGCCGAGAAGATGATGTATGCACCCGAATAGTGTAAAGAGGAACATAAAAGAGATTAACCGACTCTGCATCTGTGAGAGCAGCCGGAGCCGGTTAACCGGAGATGAACTTAAGAAAGCTAGAGAGAAGACAGAGGTTTTAGAGAGAGGTTTTTTATGTCAATAATCATAAGTCGGGATTTATTTATCTGAACGAGTATCATGATATTTCTTCCAAAAAATCATCCGGTTGTTGTAGCTACCAGAGGAAAACTAATAAATTTATAATATATACTACTAGAAACCGAATAATATTAAACTAGGAGAAGACCGCGCCTTGGGCGAGATGAAGTTCTTATTTTTATTATGTTATAGAAAATGAAACAAGAGTTCGGTTTCATTTGAATTAGGGGTATTCAATCCGAATATCGGATTTCAGTTCGGTTATATTTTTTTTCAGTATTTCGGTTATTAAAATATAACTACTATTCTAAATCCATGTTTACTTCGGTTAGATTTGATTTATATACCATCGGTTTCCAGTTTATTCAGTTTAATACCAAAAAACATAATTATTTAGTTTGAGATCATAATATATAATTTTAAGAGTATTATTGTCAAAAATTCATTTATTAAAAAATATTATATATTTATATAAAAGAATAAAAAACAAGAAGGCTTATATCATCTAATAAAATGATCAAATCTAGAATTAATATCAAAGCTCTAAATTTTGAAAATAAAATAAAAAACAAAACATAAGCATGAAAGAAAAGTTTTTATATTCTTCCATATTTAGTGTTCATCAAATTAATATGTCTCCGTTGAACACAACTCTGTTTGTTTAAAGATAAAAAAAAAGTTTTAAACAATTTCAACTAATTTTTGTCCATCAAATTTATAATCTTATTTATTTATTGTTAAAACAAAGCAAAAAGATTAAAAAAAGACTAATAAAATAAGAAGTCTCAGTTGCAGTAAATTGTTATTTAATTATAGTTCAAGTGATTAAACTGATTTACAAATCCCTTATATATTAATCTTGGAGCATTAGAATATATTTTGGTAGCCTCGTATCATCACTACGTTGATTCTTAGAATCCTTAAAAAAATAAGTTGATTTATTTTCATATATATTATATTTTTTATTAAACTAACTACGCAATTAATTGTTAGTGTATAAAAGAATATTCTCCATTATTTTCTTAAATAAAAGCTACGGAACTGCCTAATATGGTTAACAAATATATGATAATTAATGATTATGAATAATAAAGATTTGATAACAATTTTCTATCCGCCATCCTTTTTTTAATTTTAATTTTTTTTAATAAATTAAAAAATCATATTAATAATATATTAAAAATTACGATTTTTTCTTATATAGCTATATTTTGAATTTTTAAACGATTATAAGATACCAAAATTGTTAAAAGTCAACATTGAAATTTTTTTGATCAATGATTTAACTTTTTGTTAAAACAAAATACAAATGATCATAAAATCATATAAATATTCAGAATATATATATATATATACATATATAAAATACATAAACATGTTAATTTCAAAATTTGCTTTGAGTAAGAAGCATCGGTTAATAAATATTCATATAAATAAAAATAATATTTGTTACATTAAATATAAAAATGTTAGTTAAATCATATGAGTACGAAATCCAATTAATAAATATTTATATTAATATATATTATTTAATTTTGTTAATATCAGTTAGTTTTAATTATATACTATATAAAATAAATAAGTAATTATTTGATTTTTTACAAACAACACAATATTGTAAATACAAAGAGTGATGATTTTTATTTATATGTTTACTCCAGTTTAACTATATACGTAATAGTTGCTCGCTTCTCAATTATTTAATATACTTATTATTGCATACGTGAATGAACATAAAATAAATAGTAATATGTAAAAATGATTTGCATACATAATTATTGTTCACTCCGCGCAAGTGCGGATCTCAAAAATTATTTGTTATTTCAAAAATAAAATTTTTCATATCAAAGTGAGAATGTGAATTTTAACATCCGGATGATAATATTGAAGTCCAATGTACTTAAATAGGTTAAAAAATAAAAAAAATAACAACAAATATTACCCTACTCATCAACCTTTATTGATGGTCGAAGTTATGATAAGATAGTTGAACGATCAAAATTAGTATTCAATGATTATTAATATATAAATTTCACTCCGCGCATATGTGCGGATTATCACCTAGTTATAATTATAGTTCAACTCATGTAACAAATAGATATTCATGTGTCGTTATAAATATATACATATTTACATGTTCAGTTTAATCGGTTATAAATCAAATCATATCCAAATCCTACGGTTTTTATAAAATCACATCCATTCGGTTTGTATGGTATATACAAAAAAAAAACATATTATCGACTGTATAATATATTTTTATAAGTTAAAACTAAAAAAAAAAAGAATTAAGATATTTAAATCATTGATAACAAAATTTTTAATGTGAAAAATTTAATAAGTTTATAACTTATAAATGTTCTTGAAAATTCATTGAAATTTTCGAAATTAAATACTTATGTAATCTTATATGGTATATAATTTAATCTATATATATATATATTTATTTATTTATTTTATTATTTAATGATAATTTTTACTCATATGGTTTTAATACCATGTGTATCTTTTTATAATAAAAATAATAAATCATTGATCATTAATTTTTAACCTAATAATTATAATAGTTTAGTCATTTATTCTCGTTTTTAAATTCAAAATATAACATATACAAAAAAATTTAAAGTTGAATTTATAGCTAATTTGATTGTTTAATTAATTTTAATAATATAAAATTAAAAAAAAATGATGGATGAGATATAAATTGTTATCAAATATATTTTATTAGAATCAGTAATTGTCATATATATATTAGTTATTTATGGTAATTTTGTAGGTCTTATTTAAAGAAAATAAAATAGTAATTGTATCTAGCAGAATAATCATAAATGCTTCTATCGTAAATATTATATCATATCATCATATCATATAGTTTGACCAACTAATGTATATAGCGACATTAAAAATCGAATGTGGACCTACTTATTTTTCAATTAAATGTAATTGACTACCTAATTGAGTGACATTTAAGCATGAAATCTTTTTTAATTACTACAAAACTGAGTTTTTCAAATGTTTGTTTTTTAAATATATAGGGGATGGAACATAATTTACTTTGAAATATATATATATATATTAAATGAGACTTCTTACTTATCTAATTTTGTAATCATTTCTATTTTGTTATAAAATAAAATTTAACCATGGATCACAAAAATTTTAATGTGAGATTTTGTAACAACTTTAGTCATTTATAGTCGTTTTAAAAAATTCAAAATATAGCATATACGAGAAAATCTAAATTTTTATTATATAGTAAATCTAGTTGTTTAATTTATTTTAATAAGTTAAAATTTAAAAAATACACTAATTTTTATCAAATCTTTATTATTGAAAATCATTAATTGTCATATATTCTTTAACCATATTTGGAAATTCTGTTATTTTTATTTAAGGAAACATTGAAAGACATTAATAAGTCATTTATGATTAGTTTAATAAAAAGCTTATTATATATTTAGATGGATTAACATATTTTTCTAAGGATTTTGAGAATGATTGTGGTGATGAGTCTGATGACGCATGGCTACAAAAAATGTTGTAATGTTTCTCCTTTAATATATAGAGGATTATATGTATTGTTTGTTCCAGAGCGGTCCTGCAATTATGTGGGCTAGAAGCAAAATAAATTTTATGGGCTGGCAACTTAACTAGAATGAAAAAAAGTTACTAAAGTGTAGGAAGAAAATCTTGAACTCTCAACCTTTTACCTACACATTCACTGCTTTAACCATATGGCCTGCTGAAATAACATTTAAATGTGGCCGATATTTTGACTATCTATACTATTAAAGCTGAAGTACAAAAATAAAGTGTTTGGAAACATGAATAAGAAAATTTTTAAAATTTGATTGGAAACATGGATATCATACAAATTTAATGGGCTTATTTATTATACTAAAGATTATTGCGGCCCAAGGTACCATTATTATTGTTTTTGGATTTTCTATCATTGATATTACTTTACTTCTAAAAATTATTTATACATATATGTATTCATGTTTTAAATGTATTTAGAATAAATTAAGAATGATATATATTTTATTTATATAATTTATATTGACTATTCTTATAAGTTTTTAATAGTGATATACTAGACTTCCAATTCTTCATTAAAAATTAAATTAAAAATTTGACTAAATTATTTAGTGTATATAACTTTACACCAAATTTAGTCAAAAAACTTTATAAAATATTACTAAAATGTTTACGGGTCACAATATTTTGAGACGCCCCTGTTACACAATACAATAATGAAATACAATATTTAAACAATATACTATTACTTAGTAAAATTGACACCATTAAATTGTAATTTTAAAATGTTATATATACCATAAAAACAAAGACCCGTCCAGTCGTACGAGTTATGATCTAGTATTATTTACGGCCGCAAGCAGATGCTTGTATTGTTTCTCCTCAAAGCCTCAGGGCCGCCAAGATGCTTGTATTGTTTCTCCTCAGAGCCTCAGGGCCGCCACTGGTTTGTTCTGATATCTGCCAAAAGATGCTGAAATAACCGAATGTTCGTCTTCGTCGTATGCCATATGCAGCGACGAAGGATCCCAAACACAGCTACCTACGAATAGCAAGACAGCTTCACCTGATGTCGTATAACGGCAGGGTGTTTTCCTACAGCCATTAGCCTTATACACAAAAGGCCATGGTCTATATTAGCCTTATACACTCTATCTGTATTTCTTGACCATTGAAGGCCCAATTACTCTACTCTGAAAGGCCTAATAAATGTAAATACAGACACAGAGATTGTTGTTGCCCTTTCTGCAGATAAACAACATTCATTTATAACAGTGCCACATTATATATCACATCCATTATTCTTCCAAGACCATTACAAAAATTGAAAAATATACAAGTACCATATACACGAACAAGTTGGAATAGCTATAAACCGGTGACGTAAAGGATAATTTCGACATTTGAACCCTTCTATTACCGGTTAAGTATGGTCTCCACCATTACATCATTCCATGAATCAATCGGACCAGGTAAGCACCAATGCAGACAATCATTCTGAATAGTGCTCTTATCCTTCACTCCAACAAAAGGATGCGGATGCCTGTACGGTCCCGGATGCCCATCTGGTCGGAGAAGAGACATCCCTGTCGTGTCCAACAGTCTAAAGTTGGTGGAACCTTCTCCAAGACCTTTCTGAAACATATCAAGCTCAACCTCACGCATCACATCATCAACGGTTTTCAACTTTGCCTCGTCTTCTTTAAACGGCATCGTCCTGTCGCAATACCCACCAGTGTTCCACTCTCCGAATTCGAAATGGTCAGGTGTTGTGGTTCGGAACAGAACCAAGGGTTTGTGAGTTGAGTCACGGACGAAGCTCCGAAGTAGCTTAAGGGTTTTGCGGTAAGAGTAATCGTACCCGAGTTCGGTTAGATTGTATTTACCGTGGCAGTAATGGCAGCCCGTGATCATGTTGTTTTCATGGAATATCGTTGCTTTGAGAAACCATTTGCCTCCGGAGATGACAACGTAGTCGAAGTTGGAGTATTGGTGAGTCCATTTGTGGTCGAGACGGTCGAGGTAAAGGTGGATGTCAGAGCTGCTTTCAAAAGTTTCGGATTTGACAAGGAAAGGAGACCAGATGACAGAGAGCGTGAAGTTGTGAGAAGGGAATCTCCAAATCTTGGATCTGAACTCCTTGTCGTGGTAAATCTCCACCACTTCTTCTACCTAAAGAAGATAAACCATGAACTGATCAGTTTCTTGCAGTCTAAGGAAACATTTAGTCTTGAATATCTATTTTATATTATCAAAATAAGTTTTATAATTAAACTCAAAAACCATCTAATCGTTCTAAATTGGTAAATTGGTTAAAACCAATCTAACTTTGTCAAAATGTATTAAATTAAGTAATAAAATTGGTACAAACCCACAAATTTGTCAACTTTTTAGTCTTGAATATCTATTTTATATAATTCATCAAAATAATTTTATAATTAAACTCAAAAACCATCTAATTGTTCTAAATTGGTTAAAATCGGTTAAAACCAATCTAAATTTGTCAAAATTTATTAAAAGTAATAAAATTGGTACAAATCCACAAATTTGTGGAACCTTTTGTTTTGTATATCTAATTTTTATAATTCATCAAAATAATTTTTATAACTAAACGCTTTTTTTTGAAACACCTTTTATAATTAAACTTAAAAACTAAAATATCTTATATAAATGTAAATGTATATAAACTAAACCAATATGCATAGATTCCGAATAATCTGCCTAGTCGCTACTCCTCTACAAAGAGTCTAATTGCTTTTTTTTATAAAGAACAAAGAGTCTAATTACAGTCGAGTGATTTCTTGAACACTGAGATAAACCATAAACTGATCAGAGTCTTGCACACTAAGGAAACCTTTTAACTACTAGCTAACCGTGTACCTGAGAGAGAATGCAGATGAGAGACTGGACATGGTTACGAGCGATGGAATCACCAATGAAAGCCCACCATTTGTTCCTCACCCTCTCAAGAAACTGAGATGGGTTGAACCTAGGGAGATCACAGCCACGAGGCTTCCATCTCCAGAAGAGGTAGTTCACATCAGGGCGCCCATTCAACATACAATTCTGAAAATCTTGAATGAGAGGACATGAGTGGTTGGTGTAGCGAGGACCCGATGGATCAGGTATCCAGTCCCCAGTGAATAGATCACACTTTGACGATGAAACTGCACACACTCAAACACATTATTAGAGAAGATTAATATTCTCTTAATCTATTCTATTAAAACAGCAGTGTGACCTATTGATAAATGTTGTGTCCAACTTATTATTAACCACCTACTAATATCAATAATAATTGAACTTTATGCATTTTATACAAATATTGTAACCACTAACTAATTCAATTCCTAATTATGCGGGACTCGACTCATTTTTTTTTCTCTTTCTCTCAAACCGTCGACTAACTTTAATTTCAGAGTCTATAATTTCATATATTTTTTTTTGGTCACAGACAATTTCATATAACTAAAAAAAAATTGGGTTGTCGTTCATCATCCTTTTTCATCTTTTTAGTTTCTTTCTTTGTAGTTTGAAAACAATATCTCACTAAAGTATGGAATTATAAATAAAAAATATTGTGTAAGTACGATACAAACACAAATTTGCATAGGTTTAATCACAGAAACAAACATATTTGTAGGTTCAGAAACGTGGGCGTGGTGATCGATTGCTCGCCGATGGAACTCGGTGGAGAGTTACCCTGGCGATTTTGC